CATAACCATGCAGAGGTATGTGCTCCTTAAATGCCTAAATCCTTCATCTGATCTATTTTTCTCAAAAGCAAAATTGGTTACTGTACATAGTTGTACAATAGCATTTGCCTCTGATAGGATACATTATTTACTTCAGGTTTAATATACATTACAAATAAGATTTGCTTTCATGGAGAAGCATTAAGCATTTGGCAAGGGGAGAGCTGAGCATTTTGCTTAATTTGTTTTGGCAAACCTGAAAAATAGAGGTCATTACACATACTTCTGCATTCCAGAAACAGAACAAGGAACAAATATTTTAAGAAAATCATGATTATAATTAAAAATACCACAGTGTTTTAGGGAGTGAGGTTGTTTTGTATTTGCAACTCTCCGCCTGTAGTGCTTAGGGACGCATGGAGTGGGCTTTGAAAGAGACAGAAAATTAGACACTTGGAATTTGAAAAGCATTTCTTTGGGAAACCCTTAAAAAACATAACGTGACATCAATTATTCAGCATCAGACTCAATTGGTTTCTTCTTTTTCCGTGAAAACAAGCCTTTCTGCAACACCTATGTGTATAGTCACATTTCTGTCATGTGATATTAAAGGTTTATATGAAACATTCGTACTGAAAAATTAAGCACACTTTTGTTTTGATTAACTGCACTTGGTTCCTAAAACCACAAGGTGAAAACGCAGCTAGCGCCAGCCACATCTGTGTCTTCCCTCTGCCCGCCAAATGAGCCACGCCGAGGCAGGAAAGCTGTTGACAAATTAATACTTTAAGAAAATAAACTATGGTCATGTTCAACATAGAGCAACTTTATCCTGATTAATTTGTGTTGGAGGCTCTCCAGCCCCCATTTGCAAAGCCCCACAGTTTGTACAAATGTAATTTCCTAATATTTACACGAGGAAAGCCTCAGCAGTTAAGCTTTGCCTCCAGTGTGAGTTTTGTGGTTTGTAAAAAGACAATAAAAATACAGAGAGGTAATTGTAAGCACATTTGAAAAAGAAAGGAAAAAAGAAAGGAATTTTCTTCCTCTCCTCCTCCTTGTGTAGCCCTATAAAAATGGGCTTGTGTGTGCAGACTCAGGAAGGGAAGCCAGTGTTCACTGGCGGAGTTTTAAGTAATGTAACACCTAATACTTAATAATATATCCCTGCAACCGAATATAGTTAACGAGACCCCAGAACACCCACGCTTCTTCTTAACATAGATCTTTTGCATCCTGACATAATTCATCTTTGTCCATCTGCACGGTCTTGTCATTTTATGCCTTTATTTATATCAAGTGTTGGGCCTTTGCGTGACTGCTTGATTTAATAAATATTAAAAAAGAAAAATCTAGCTGTAATGTGTTGCTTTGTTCTGAGAATATTAAAAAATAACCTTTAGTTTTAATGAGATTTTTTCTCCCATCAGTTTACACAATTTTCCAGATGCAAAATGAGCTTTTGGCTGTAAAATATTTTATCACATTGTCTTACACAATAAAGATTAGATGTTTTCTCTCTCTCAACTGCACTGCAATTATTTTTTAGTGTTTGCAAATCATAATATCATTTAAAAACCATATTTTATACCTCATCTAAAATACTTTTATAGCTATATGATGAAAAAAATAACATCTATTTAACTACTCTTTTTAAGTGGCTGTTATGTGCTTTAGTATAATTTCCTAGGAAAAGGCACAGCTAAAAAAACTTAGGTTTCCTTGAAAACAAATCTCCCAAGCAACATCTTTGCAAAAATCCCCAGAATTTAATTCCCCTGACTGGAAAGCCCAGAGTGCCAGAATGTAAAAATAGTAGCCCTGTCATTTCACATTCATTAAGTGTGAAACTCAGAAATTAATAATGTAAAAATATGCTTTTTAATTAGTCTTACATTCTGCCCAATGTACTTAAATGGGATCAGCGGCTCCCTAATGATTTTTTTCTTAATAAAGTATTAGCCTGTGATGCACAGAGGTTGACAGGTATGATAAACTGGAAAGTACTTTTGGAGGCGTATGAATGATACCAAAATAGTACTCACCCATTTAAATGTAATTAACATCAGGGAGCAATATTACAAGAGAAGCCTGCAAGATTTTTATTTCAGGGTTTTTTTTCCATTTCTTATTTTATGAGTAGTTTGATGATTGCAGCAGTGATTTTTGTAATTTAATTACCTTTGCTGAAAGCTAAGCTTCCACTAATAGCAGGTCAACAGGATCATAAAGCAGCCTTCAAAAATATTAAAAAGAAAGTAAATCCATTTAGATGGGTCCTTTTAAGTGTGTATGGGGTGTGTGTGTGTTTGTGTGTGTGTGCTCATGTGGCCGTTCACGCACATACTCATATGTGAGGAGATCTAGCTGTATACGGGAGCTATATCTTCCCAAGTAGATAAAAATACATAGATTTATAAGTATAGAATGCATGTCTGTATTTGTTAACTCAAGAAGTATTCCATCTAGGGAGATAATGACTCCTACAAGGAACTCTGGTCACTCATCCTCGAGAGAGATTTGGTGGCAGACATTTGGAGAGATTTGGCATAAGCCAGTTTGGGAAAAAGCAAAAGAAGAACTAAAATGTGTATTTGAGCAACTCCAAAACATTAAAAGTCCTACCGTATAGGAGACTCCAGTCAACTGTCACCTGTATCCTCTAACATTCAGCCTATAGAACGTAACAGTGGTGTTGACTGGCTCTCCTATGTTAAATCACTAATACAAACATGAAATAGATTTCCTAACACATCAGCTCACCAACCTGGTGATGTTGACTCGAGGACTTCCTCTCAGAGAACTGAGTAGCTGTGTCCCAGATGATGGTCCTTTTCAACACAGCACAGAGACTGACATGTAGTATCTGACAAAACCCAAGGAATTCTCCATGGGCTGCAGTCAGGTGCCATAGCTTTTCTGGAAGAATTTCTGGAAGCCCATAGGAGGTTGGAGTCTTGTATGGCATGTGTCTGATGGGCATTTCTGGGTGGCCACAGCCAGACATGGCTCATGAAAGACCAACTGGATAGGGCCAGCAACCCAGCACTCCTGATCCTCAACCTATCTGCCCTCACAGCTAACGGAGTGTTGGGAGTTTCTTTTTTAATTTTATCAAGAACAAAGGTGGCAAGAGACCTACAACCTTTTATTTATGTTTAATAAATAAAAGCCTTTGATGAACAGTGACAGCACCTGTGTTTTTCTTTGATCAAGAGCCTACTAGAGTATAAAACATAAGGTTAGGCATGAGTCCAGATCTGTGGAATTTAGTGCAGTGATTGTAAGTTCTGTTCCTCGTTGCTAACAAGGCTCACATAGCCTGGGTTTCTCCAACTTTGCATAGAATTCTGCTTATTTACATATTTCTTCCCATGCACTGGTGTTTATACCAGTTTTCAATACGAATTGAAATTTTTAGAAATAAGATGTGGAAGCTATGTTAGGAAAATATTTGATTGCTTGATAATGGGGTTTGTTTTCTATCCTCAACAGGATTTTACCTGTTATCAATCATTTCATCTCCTTAATCATTTTTCTATCACAAGGAAAAGAAGGAGATTGGATAAAGAATATTAATTTTTCTGCTTTGTTAAAATTCTGGCGAACAACTAGTAACTCCATGAAAGTAGGATGGGTGTTGCCTGCTCCCAGCTGCTAGGATGCTGTCCAGTGGACATTCACAAAATGAGAGCTGCTGGGAAGAAAGAATGTCATAGGGGAAGCCTCAGCATCACCTGAGATTCAGCCAATGCCTTAGTGGATTACTGTCTTGGCTGTTCTCTGGCATAAAATGGGAAGTGCATTATTCAGCTTTTAGCCCATTTCACAAGGCACCTAAATAGTCATTATCAGAATGAACTGTACAAACACTAACCATTTCAAAGGTGATGAGATAGGAACACTGCTTTGAAGCCCTCGCATACCAGAAGTATTTGGTTTCTAAGCCAGTTAACCAATAGGGCGGTTTCACCTGGGTTGCTGCCTCCTGGAGTTTCATTAGTAGGAATATCTACTGATTGATAGTAAGTTCACCCAAAATATGAACTATAGATAATACCACAGACTTCTCTAACTGTGAAACAGATTTTTTATTACTATGTTAAAGAATATGTTTTTGCTGATGATTCATTCTGCTTTTGTTGGAGAGATATATCAAAATAGTAATTCACTTATTGACCAGGGAGAATTGTAATTACATTTATTGTTTCATATGGAATTATGTTGAAATGAACTTATGTATTTATTTATATTTGTTAAGTCAAATAGCAACTTTAATTTATAAATTTTATACAATCTCAAGGAACCTGAACATTTTAGGGGGTTAATGGGGGTGTCACATAATTAAAAGACTCCTTAATTGCACTCTCTACAAAAATAAAATCAAACAATTAAGTGAAAATTACCTATGAATAACTCAAGGTAACAATGAAGAGCAGATCTTCAAGATAGGATAATGGTCAGATAGATTTTCTTTAGTGAGAATTTTTATATTATTTGCAGGTGAAGAAACTGAGCCTCAAAGTTGCAAGGACTTACCTAAGGCTATGCTCCATCTAAAGGATTCTTGGCAGACGCAATATTGACATCAATTAGAAAGCCACCAGAGCCAAGGCACTGGCTCCGTGGCTGTACATCCTCCCTGAGGTTATGGTGGGGGTCCTGGTGCTCAGAAGCTTCACCCTTGGAGAAGGCCAAGAGTGTCCACTTAGGGTTCTGACTCTGTAGGTCTCTAGACCTAGAGACCTTTAAATCCCATGTTTTAAGAAACAGTCACTCGCATTATATCATCAAGTATGTGTGAACACCACCACACAGATACACCTACACACACAGATACACACTACACACACACACACACACACACACACACACACATGCGCATGCACAAATAAAAACCATGGAGAAGGATCACATAGACAACAACTAGTGGAAGTTATTCTGCAATTGACTTCAAATTTCAGTAATGCAGGATTACATATCCAAGAAATGACAACGGTCACTAAAAAAGATACACACACACAAATGTAATAACTTTATTAATTTAGTTCCAGTGAATTCTCCTTCATTTCTTCTTTATCTCTTCCTTTTCTCTTCATCCTTATAAAACAAGGGCCAGGATCTGCCTGGTTGATCCTAGTGGCCAGACAACTGGTTTTTTGTAGTTTTACTGTCAAACTGTGGTCAACCAGGGTCCCTGGCAGGACTGGATGCTCCATGTGTTACAGAGGGAAGCTCAGGTGACCATTTCTCCTGTGACTGACCAGTGGGCTGTGGAGGCCCCTACTCCCAGACACATTAAGACAGCAGCTCCAGGCAGCCAGTGTGTACACACCTCCAGCTTGGCCTTACTTCAGAGGTTGTGCCGGTGACCAGTGAGTGCCGGTCCCAAAATGCACCTTCTTTCTGTGGATCCACCAAGGAATCTGGTTTGCTTAAGTGTGAAATTAAATCAGAGACATTTATGGAGACTTCAAGCCAAGTCATTGAACACAAAATTATGCAGCCATAGCACATACCAGTAAAATCAAAAGACTTGGTTCTCAGGGACACGCCAGTCCCAAACCCGAGCAGCAGAGCAAAGGACATCATATTGGGGATGTGCCTCCTTCCCAGAAAGACAGGCAGCAGATCCCTTAGCAGGCTTTCTTAATGGCCAATCCATGCACTAGTGTTTGTGAGGGGAGCCAGAGGGACTGCTTGTTTACCGACTGGATGAAAGAACAAACTACAAGGTTAGGAACACAGTACCCAGAGAGACTTGGGAAATCCATTGGACATGAGTAAAATACAAACCACTGCAAAGGGGACATATGCATGAATTCTAAGGATCCAATGACCCTAAAATTTTTCTGAAGAATCACAAAAACTGTAGATGCATACATGGAGATGCAGCCTGGCCTCCTAGGGTCTTTGTGCAAAGTTGTTCTTGGTTGCATCCAGGACTATCCAGCAGCCTCTTGGTCATTTGCACCTGCTTGCTCCCTATCCAGGCATCAAGGTTAGGGGGAAGCTGTGACCCGAAATATGGGGGTAGATCCAATCTGCAAAAGGAAAATCAGTGTGAATATGCAAGATGACATTCAGTTGCAAATAAAACAATTCATTATTAGACTCACTAACCATCTGGACAGCACAAGGATGGGTGAATGTTACATAGTTTGTTCATTTAGGGCATGTCTAGGAAACCTTAATATTTATTAGGTGACTAAAAATCAATGTATGTGTGTGAGAAGACCATGTATATCATCTTTCTTTACCAATCAGTTTATATAAAATAAAAATTTCCTCCCAGTATTATGCCGTATTTCTACATTGAGCATTCTTAGTCCTGATCCCTGTCCTAGACATTATGTTCAAAGGACATTTCCAATATGAGCGTGAAGGTTATGACTTAAAGAATTCCACTTAAGACACAGGACTCAGGGGAGGCAGAGTTCAAGCTAAGGTTTCTCTGTACTGGAATCAGGACTTATGATCACAGTGTATTCAGCAAAGGGAACAGCAAAGTAAGCACTGGGTGTCCCCTTCATCAGGGAGACCAAATGTTTATGCTTATAGTGTAGGATACCTTGACTGCCTTCCAGCTCAGGAGTTGCTTTTGTGCTGCCAGTTGGTTTTATAAACAGAGTCACAGCTCTGTAGAAAGCACACTGCACATTTACTGCACATCAAGGTCTATCATGTGTAGTAAATGTCATCTGCTTGGTGGAGTGCGACTCTATCCCAAGAACAGAATGAGAGAGGCTGCAAACAGGACAGCCAAGGAGAGGCTATCCAAGGGATGTCAATCTAAACCCAAGTCCATTTAAACAATGCCAGAGGAAGCGACACTTGGCAATTCTGGCTGAACAGTCCTGACTCAGTTGTTGGCCAAATTGGGGTGCTGCATTCTTTGATCAGCAGCATGATGGGCCTGGCAATTCATCATACTGCTGGAAAAACTCCTGGGTGACAACAGCAGGTGGCAATGAATGGTGCCAAAAGATAGGGATCCAAGCGGCCTTCAGGGGCTCTCCTCTAGAGAGTTTCACTCTGGGGAGGGATCTAACCACCAAAGAGAGGATCTAATTTTTTTTTTTTTTTTTTCCTGAAGGCTACTAAGGCAGGCTTGCCAAAGCCCAGTTTGCATGAGGGAGCCAAGCATTGATTTCTACTCAAATGATCTCTGCAATTAACCTAACAGGGACACCTTCCATGGGCTCAGGAATTCATTCTCCTGTTCAAGTACAAAGTAGAAGAATTATGTCTGCTTCAAAATCCATAGCCTGAAATCGCAAAGGCTCAAATTCTTGCCCAGTTGGCAGGCTTGGGTGACTCCCAAGTTCTGTCTTCTTAACGTGCTTCTCATGTTATATTTGACTGTAGTCTAATTATCAACAAACATAGTGACTCAGATCTCTAGGTCTGGCTCTTCACAGCTAAAAATCAAAATGCTGCTGGGCGTAAGGGAAAAAAAATGCAGGAGCCCTTTTATAATCCTTAACCAGACACTTCCACCAGTGAACAGCAGAGGGGGCTGCAAAAACCACAGAATTAAACACTTGCAGAAGAAAAGAACCTTTTAACCTAAAAACCAATCATTCTAAACCTTTTCAAAATATAAAAATGGTTCTTCTTTGTGCTTTAAACTATCAGCTGGTCTGTTTTTTTATTTTTACTTTTTATTTTTAGAGCTTTTTCAGAGTGTCCCAGACATGCTTATGAATTTAACTTATTTTTTTAACATGGTAGATTTTTAAACACTTTTCCTTTTGTGTTCCTCTAAGGAAGTTACCATACAATTTTCAAGAAAGCAAAATAACTATCTGTTATTAATTTAGTCACAACAAGTCAACTCACCCATATCTCAGAACTGGAACAAAATATGCTTTTGCCCTTTTACAATGTTTATTAGTGGACATAGTTATGCATGCAGATTCTTTAAACAATTGTTTTTCATTCGATTGAGAACCTGCACCAATCCAGTCTAAACAAATCCTTGGTCAAGCTTCAGGCTATGCATCAACTTGTGTAAAAACAAGGCACAAGTACAAAGGATAGAGTAGAATCAGTCAAATAAATGTCTTGTTGAAAGAGTGCACAAACCGAACCAGGAAATCAGTTTCTCCCATTTGATTTGCAAGTCAAGAAAACAGCACCTCCGATTTCCTCTCAGGAACTGGAGAGAACAGGTCCAGAAACAGCCGCCACAGCGAGGCAGCCCCTTTGCGGCTCACCTGATTCCAAGGCATTTTCTCAGCCACCAGCAGGGTCCATCTGGGGAGAGAGATGAGAAAGGAGCAGATGGACAGATGCCACTTCTGGACAAATTCAGTCCACAAGTGTGTCAGTGACTCCAAAGCTGCCAGGTCTGGCTGTGCATTTGGGTCTGTGTTAACCCAGATAAAGAGAAGGAAGCTCCTGTCCCTGGCACAGAGGCCTCGGATTGCCAGATGAGAGCTGAGATATTATGCTTGTGATATAGATTGGGGCAATTAACAAGTATAAGTTATTTCAAAATAAGCTTAAATCTGCATTTTATGTGTGCAAGTTTCCAGCTGTAATGGGATTATGATGTCAGCAAAGGGAGAGAAGTCCGCAGCTGCAGAAGGCTAAGGGGGTAGCCGACAGCTGTTAAAATAGAGAAGGAATGGTGATTAATTCTTATTATGTGTTTGAAGATTTCACAACGAGTTCAAGACCCAATCCTTCCCTTGGGGCATGAAGTGGAGGAGTGGAGTGGCCTGGTCTGTCGTATTCGCCCACCCAGTCATTTTGTTGCTCAGTTTTAATTTGATTCAGCATTTTTACCAGCCCAGATACTCTGTGTATCTATTAGGTCATATTTAAATAAGCTAGTATAGAAGAGAAGGATTGTGTGTCCTGTTTCCCAGTGTGACCACCCTCCCCCATTCATTTGGGTTGCATCGGTATCAGTTCTGGGGAGCTTGATGTCCCAAACTGGGCTTATGAGCAGCCTAGGTGGAGCTTAGTAGCTGCCTCTGATTCATATGTTCCCTGGTAAGTAGCCAGAAAAAACCAAGGGCTCAAACAGGCCCTCAGCTAACTTCCAAACAATTCGTTTTCATTTTTACCTTCAATTATGTGTATATCTGGGGTCAGGTACCAGGTACGGCAAGACATGTCTTCTTTCTGACGTTTTATGTTATTTGGATTTCTGTTTTCCTGTATCTTTGCACAAAATTGGATATGATGGTCTCCAGAGGGAAGAAAGTATCTATGAAGCCATAAAACAAGATAATGTCATATAATGTAGCTGAGATAATGTTTAAAATAACAGGACAATTTAACAGTAAAAACAAGTAAAATATGGGGGGGGGGGGAATCTTGAAATTTTTGTCTAAAATATCCCTGGCCAAATGTCATATGATATAAATTGAAGTTGAAAAGTAAACATCCCTGGTTTGAACACTTGGTAGTTCTAGGTCAGCAGTTATCTAGTTAGAAGTCCCCAGGAAATCTCCTTCTTTATCTATAAAATCTCTTCATCAACTCTGGTCACTGAGGGTCCTTCCAGAAGCTACCGGGATCCCCAAAACAGCTATCCATTGTGGACACCTGACTTCGTATTGTCGTCTGGGCCTCTGAGGCCTCATTCCCTGCACTTGGTAGAAGTCAGTAGTTTTTGGATGTGCAGCTGACTTACACTAAATTGGGAAGAAAGAGAATGCAGCAGAGGCAGTAACTCAAATTATAGGAAACAATGAGCAGAGGCTTAGAATGTATCAGAAAAAAAAAAGCTTAAAATCATAAACATTCAATTAAGGAATCCGCTGGGTACTGCATACTGTATCTGTTCTCTAATATGATCTATTATTTCTGTTTTTCTGCCTGTGCGTTTTTACCATAATGACGCATTCCTCCACACAGGTCAGGAGGCAGACAGGCTGCAATGTAAATGAGGCAGAATAATGCCTGCTCCTTTCCCAGCTCGGCCTTCTGGCTTTGACATAAGTCCTGGGGCTTCAGGGATGGAAACAAAGGGCGCTTGTATCCCGGCTTCCTATCTCTGGGAAGATCATATTGCTCAGTCCTCACTCCCCTCCCCCTTTTCTGTATTAAAAAAAAAAAAAAAGGAGAAGAATTACAGAGTTCAGGCCAGAAGAAAAGTTTGAAACCCCCTAAGAATATGCTTGCCCCGTGGGGGAGGGGTGGGTACACAGCCGGAGGATTTAATTTCAGGGCAGCTGATGTGGTTGATCTCTAATTCATCAGATGCTTCGCAGAACTCACAGGGTTCTAAAATGACCTTGGGTCCGTTTTTACCCCGTTTCTGTGCAGAAATGTTTTGAGCTCACTCGCCTAATTCTCCGTATGGCGTTACCTGGATAAGTTGGTTATTACATCAGCAGACAGTTGTTTGTTTTAGGTTCTCTCATTTTAAAGTGAAACTGGAACAATGAAACAAAGTTTGTTTTTCATCTCCGTTTTTCTTCCTTCTCTTAAGAAGAGTTTAAAGGTGATCTAAAAACCATATCCGAACAGCATCCAATCCAGTACGGTGAGTCTGTGCGATGCTTTTCACTTAAAGGTTATAACCTGGCAAAAGTTAATCAGAGAAGAAAAGGACAACCTGAGACACGCTTAACCTTCAGCTTAACTTGCGAGGGACCTTGGTCTTGGAAAAGGTTGGGGTTTGATGAGGTGGCCCTGAGGCAACTTTCAAGGATGTCTTCTTTCAGGACAGCTTCCTGGGGGCTGCAGAGTGGGCCCTGGAGCCCAGGCTGGCTGGCAGACTCACACGGCCTGCATATGAGGGTTTCCCCCATGCCTTCAAGCTGGAGCCTATGAGGTTTCCATGCAGCCCAGTGTCAGGGCCCAGCTGAGAAGCGGTCACAGCTGCTGTGCACAGAAACTCTAACAGCCAAAGGTAGGGGGTCCTGGAGGGGTGCCAAGAACTGCCTGAGAGGTCAGAGGAAGGGGGGAGATGAGGAGCTGGAAAGGGGAGAGCGGAAGGAGGCTGTAATGGGATGGCAAGATGCCCGGGATTCATGGGGCATAAAGACGGGGAGGTGGGGTGGGGGCAGTGAAGGATTGTGGGGAGGCAGCAGCCAGGCTGCTGAAACACAGAGAAAAGTGGGAATTGTCACAGAGAGTGGCCCAGAAATGCAGGTCAGATGGAATGAATTCTACCCCGAAACATACTTTTCAGTCTGGTTATAGAGTGTCAACAAAAATCTAGCAACACATCTTAAATAATAATAAATGTAAAATGTTGATTGGATCCCAAGAAAAATGTACTTTTCTTTGCACAAAGGTAAGTGATCCTGTAATTTTCACACTTAAGTCCATGAAAATTTACCAATTGAGCCATGGTCGTATTTACCAAAGTGAAAATCCTTAACAAAATTATATGTAAGATGTCTTAACAAAAACTGCTTAAATTTTTGACTTACATAGCCATTTCTAGAACCAATTATTTCTCGGTTTTTTCCAAAGATTTTATTTCAATGTTCACTCCTTACTGAAGTGCATATAATCTTCTCGTGACAGCATAAAGCAGAACAGGGGCTGTGGAGCACGTTCAGAAGATCCCTGGAATTCCTTCTGCTTGTTGGATGAAAGAGAGACTAAGCTCCAAGCAGCTACTCTAGCAAAGGACAATGACATGAGGGACCTCAGTGGTACCTAGAGACCAGAGATCAAAAAAGGAAAGAATCGAGACAGTGCTATTGCAATGAGGGACATGAGGTCGGGGTCACAGGAATAGAAAAGCAGAGAGGAAAGGGCAGGTGGAGAGATGCAAGAGACTGAAAAGTTAGGATGAGGTACCCAGGAGCCAATACTCTGTTGGGAGCCGCGGCCGACACTGGTCGCCTTACTTGGCGGACGTAGGGCCTGTGGGTGGGAGCGGAGCCTGAGCTAGATTGCCCCTCCCATCGAGTGAGTCAAGTTGGCGCCTGCTTCCTGCCCCCTGATTGCCCTGGCGACTTAAACAACCCGCTCTGTAAGATAGTCTGCCTAGCAACAACTGATGTTAGCCAATCAGCCCGCATCGCGCGCTTTGAACTGATTGGCCACTGTTACCCTATAAAAGTAAATGCCTCTCCCGCCACAAGAGAGAAGCACAAAGGAAGCACGAGAGAGATAGAGAAAGTCCACCGGCGAAAAAGGGCTGGTGACAGAGAGGAGGCCTCGCGGGGCCCACGCGGAGACAAATAAAGGCAAGGTTGCACACCGTCAGAATCTGTCGCGTGTTCTTCCTGCCGGCCGGGAGCGACACCGACAATACTCTTTGCCAAAGCTAAATAACAGCCCAAGACAACATGCAGTCCTACCTGAGAAAGCTGGCAAGGATTCAGTCTTCTCACCTTCCACCTTCTAGAAACCTATGCCTTAGTTGTTAACCTTGTCAGCGCCCTGAAGGCTGGAAGTGTCTGTCTTGCTTAGTACCTAGAACAAAGTCTGGTAAATGGGGAGCTCTGTAAATATGAACAATTAAAAATCCAAAAATAAATTAAAGAGGTAAAATAGAGTTATTTTAACTTGTAAAATGCTGCACTTTTGTTTGTTTGTTTGTTTCATGCACAGACATGACTGAATTTAAAGAGTTCAGAAATGGTTATATCCACCCAGAAACATCAGGTGATGACTCAAGATAACTCAGGAAATCTGAGCTGGTCAAGTTTATTGCATGTCACCAGCGAGTACCTTTTGGGACTGAGGGAATTAGCAAACAAATTCCACAAACCACTAGCAGTTATTTTTAGTGAAGTAGTGGGAAATGAGAGCCTAAAGGAGAAATGGCAAGAATGGATGTGCAAGTGATTTTTAACTCTAAAAGAAGATTGATCCTGATTTTTACCATGTGGGAGCTAACCTAAATCCCTAGGAAAATAAGGCTCCCTCAAGGCAAGGCAAAATTAAAGAGACATAGCAATCCATACTCATTAATAGTCCCATAAAGCATCAAGAAGGGCTCTTTCTTATCCAGATTTCCTGGCTGGTTGTGGGCACTTGACTTGTAAAGGAATATAGTAAATATATTTACATTGTTTATGAACATGTCTTGATTGCAGCTAAACAACTGATGGAAGTTAATCCCATTTGGTTTATATAAAAAATGGTTGTTTGGAGCCTGAAAACATATCTGAGTGATGACAAATTGGATTTACTGATTTGGGGTAGATAGCCTGTAGGGATGGGAATGAATGAAAAATACATGGGCAGTTGGGATATTGAAGCAGGTAAATGATTTAAAGCAGCTTTGGAAGTAGTTTGTTAAAAGTGAGTTGCTGGGAGAATTTCCCACCCTAAGTTGTCAGGAAGGTCCCTTTTTGCAGTCTGCAGTGAGGCAGAGAGGCTGCCTTACCTTCATCTTCCTGTTGCATTTTTCTCTGCTTTCGAACACGGGGACATTGCAATTGACTGGCTTTTTGGTTCTGCCATCAGGCTTCCAAGAACCAAGGCGACTAAAAAGAGAAAGGACTATAAGAGCTCCCACAGATAGCTATGCTCCTCGGCCACAGGAAAGGGTGGCATTTCAGAGGGAGGAGGGCCTGACCCATTGGATACAGGTGGAAGAGGGTCCCAGAAAGCATGCAAGCTGCCACCCATGTTGGCCTTATTATGATGGAGAGGAATACAATAGAAATGTGCAAAATTTCCCCAGCTGTCAGCTGTCTACTTAGTATGTCTTTTTCTTAAAGAGAATGGAGCGTTTTGACTCAATCCAGTAACAGAAGAACACTTTCTCACCCATCATTTATTTTTAACCCAGCTTGGAAGGTTTCCAGTTGCCAAAGGCATAGAGGTGACCTGTTATTTGTTTCTCTATTATAGAACGTTTTGAAAAGGAGAGAGGGTCCACAAACCCATAGCTGGACTTCAAGGATAATACATCCTTTCATCCATTTCAAGTATGTATTTATAAAACTCTGACTCCATGTCATGGCAGAAATTGTCTGAAGTTAACAAAGCCAAGTCATGCTAATGCTTGTTGGTGACAATACCAATTGACCAGTTGGATCCTGAGGGAGCAGGGTAGAACGGTCAGTAGGGAACCTCAGGTTGAGATTTACCCCAGAGACTCTCCTACTATCTGAGTTGGATGAGTACTCCACCTACTCAGGAATTTTTTACATCTTCTAAAACAAGGTATTTGACACATTTAACCAGGCTGAACATAGAAAATAGTAAAGATAAAGAGGCTAACTGTACTCATTAGGAGAATAAAAATGACCACTTTAATCATGTGTTGAGTCTTCTCAGCACCCTTCTTAAGTAACCAAAGTTTCCTTTCTGTATTTCATCATATTCTTCCTAGCAGAACTCAAGGGGTCAGAGATCCCCACTGACCATTGTTCCATTCTTGAATCAAGAAAGGTATACTTAGAGGTATGGTTCCTAGTAGGCACCCTTAAGAAACTCATGAATTGCTACGTATCTTCAAATAGATTTGAGTTTTGTTAAAGACATGAGTAATACTTTGGCCAAGATTGGAGTACCATTGTCATTCCATGATGTCTCAGGTACTGTCCAGCCCCAGCTTAGCTCCCACACTGCCTTCACCTTCAAAAATCAAAACTTCTATGACATTTTATCAGTTTCTTTCTTTATTCAAGTATCATGTCCTGCGCTTTAAGAGTCATCACCATTTTTATTTTCTCACCCTGTTCAGCTTTTAACTTTTATCATTGTCTTTGTGTTACAAGGAAACAGAGGAACTCACCCAATGTCCCATAGAAAATACTACTGGAGACATATTAGGTATTCAATCAGTATTTGGTTCAATCAAATGGTTGAAGAAAAGAACTAGGATTTGAATCTAGAGTCCAAAGGGGTCAGTGACACACTAGGGACAAGAATGAGGGACAGAATCACCTTTCAAGTGACCTCCCCCACACACAAACACTTAGAATATATGAGACAAGAAAGTTCCAGAATCCTAAGATTGGTGTCTGGAGACACACTTATAATGTTCTGGCTTCATGGGCTCTGGGATAAATGCTTGTTCAAGGAACAACTCTGGTTTCTCCAAGTACAAAGGAATCATACTTATCTGGGCTGGGCCTTGCTACTAAGCAAGAAGGTGATCCTATTGCCACAGGGCAGAGCTTGTGTCTTGGCCTTGACCAAAAGTCCCAATGGATAAGGACGATGTGTCTACTTGAAGAGAAGCAACTGGGGTCAGAGCTTGGGATCTGTCTATCTGTCTGTCTGTCTGTCTGTCTGTCTCTCTCTCTCTCTGTCTCTGTCTCTCTGCTCACTCTACATAATGAAAGGCTCTTTTGGCGGCATGGAAAATAACAATTTTTCATATCCCACCCCTCCTTTGCTTTCCTTCAGCTTCCTTACCCTCAAGAAATGTCCTTTGGAGCTCCAGACCTTACTTGGTACTCAAAAGAGTAACAAGGGGTGGGAGCCATGCAAAGGAATTGTCAACAATGAACAACAAATGCCTGTCTGCACTCTCCTCCTGGAACCCATGGGTCCCCCAGGCAGTTACCTCTGGGCTGCTTCAAGACAGACTTCTCATAAACTCCTGGCCCTACATAACAACGTCAAATATAAAACTCAAGAAGGAGGCCAAATTGCAAACACCTATATTTTAAACTTCAGATGAAAACAGGAAATTCACTGGCTATGCTGAGGGATTCATGACCAGTCCTACTTTGGGTCTGTTTACCTGGGAGGAAACTGTCTCAGACCAGCATG